AGCCGTGTCACTGTACAAGATGACTTGTTCATCTTCCTAAGACTGCATTCTCTCAGGCTAATTGCTGGCTGCTATAGTCAATGCTCTAAACTCTAGAAGTCCCAAAAGGCAACCGGATTTCTTTGGGGGGATTTTGTTTAAAAAATCTCACTTCTCATCCAAGAAGTTTCTTCAGTTTTAACTACATAATTAATAGTTAGAACTGAGGAAGCTTCTCGGTTGAGAAGCGAAAGGTTTTCAAAGGGGAAAAAAACCCACAAGAAAGTCCAGTTGCCTTTGGGGGAGGGGAAGCACCTTTGGGACAACCATTACCTGGAGGATTGAGACTCTCTATAGACATTTAGACTCTAGAAAGGATGCAGAGAAGAGCAACAAAGACGATTAGGGGGACTGGAGGCTAAAACATACGAAGAACGGTTGCAGGAATTGGGTATTGTCCAGTCAAATGAAAAGAAGGACTAAGCTCTCTCTGAGCTGGCTTGTTTTCTTGCAGACATTTCATCACCCAAACTAGGTGACATCATCGATGCTAGACAAATACAATAAATAAAAGACAATTTGTCTAAGGGGAAAACTTCTTTACCCATATTCTGTTTCTCCACCTTGCAAAGAGCAGACACATTGGAAAACTAATCCTTACCTACCCACCCTCCCATTTCAGAAAGAAATTGACCTTACCTGTCAGGCTTCAAAAAAGAAAAAAAAAATGAAAAAGAAGCTCCTTTGAAGTCTCTTGATCAAAGGGCCCAAGACAAACATCTCAATCCAAACCGCAAAAACATGGAATTTAACAAAAACGCTAGGAATAGCCTTAGGAATAATTTATGCCCTGCCCTTCAACTTTGGATAGTTTAGGCTTCAAACCTCAGCACACTGGCTTTAATGATTTTTTTTTTTAAACCGTCAAATGTCTAGATAAGTTTTTTTTTTTAAGTTTTTTAAAAAAGAATTGAGGAAGTTACATTTGGAGAAAGTTTAACTGAAACTCTAGCTCGGTGTTTCTTAACCTTGGCGACTTGAAGATGGGCGGACTTCAATTCCCAGAATTCCCCAGCCAGCCATGCTGACTGGGAAATTCTGAGAGTTGAAGCCAATACATCTTCAAGTCGCCAAGGCTGAGAAACTTTGGGCTAGGCCAGGGGTAGGCAACCTTGGCTCTTTTATGACTCGTGGACTTCAACTCCCAGAATTCCTGAGCCAGCATAGCTCAGCTTGGAAACCTCTCCCTTTCCCCTCAGCATGGCTGGCTCAGGAATTCTGGGAGTTGAAGTCCATGAGTAATAATAATAATAATAATAATAATAATAATAATAATAATAATAATAATAATAATAATAATAATAATAATAATAATAATAATAATAATAATAATAATAATAATAATAATAATAATAATGTTGGAAGGCACCTTGGAGGTCATCTAGTCCAACCCCCTGCTCAGGCAGGAAACCCTACACCATTTCGGACAGATGGCTGTCCAGTCTATTCTTAAAAACTTCCAGTGTTGGAGCATTCACCACTTCTGGAGGCAGGTTGTTCCACTGGTTAATTGTTCTAACTGTCAGGAAGTTTCTCCTTAGTTCTAGGTTGCTTCTCTCCTTGCTTAGTTTCCACCCGTTGCTTCTTGTCCTACCTTCAGGTACCTTGGAGAATAGCTTGACTCCCTGTCCTTTGAGGCAGCCCCTGAGATCCTGGAACACTGCTATCATGTCCCCCCTCGTCCTTCTCTTCATTAAACTAGACATATCCAATTCCAGCAACTGTTCCTGGTATGTTTTAACCTCCAGTCCCCTAATCATCTTTGTTGCTCTTCTCTGCACTCTTTCTAGAGTCTCGACATCTTTTTTACAAGACTGGATGCAGTATTCCAAGTGTGGCCTTACCAAAGCGTTGTAAAGTGGTATTAATACTTCACGTGATCTTGATTCTATCCCTCTGTTGATGCAGCCTAGCACTGTGCTGGCTTTTTTGGCAGCTGCAGCACACAGCTGGCTCATATCTAAGTGATTGTCCACTAGGACTCCAAGATCCCTCTCACAGTTGCGACTATTGAGCAAGGTACCCCCTATACTATACCTGTGCATTCGGTTTTTCTTGCCTAAATGTAAGCCGAGGACTACCTGTAATTCATAGGGAAGCGCCATGTGGAATGCAGCAAATCCTCAAGAGCAGCAGTCCACAACCTTTGTGGCTTAGTGGCGTGGCTGGGGGAGGGGAGGGGAACTTGCCGCACAAGCAGCAGGCCGATGCATATGTGGGCGAGTGCCTGCCAGCCGCCGCTCACACAAGTCAAGCTGCACGCACACACACACTCCAGCCAGCCATTTGAGAGGCTTAATTTCGAATAGGCCACAGCTTAGTAGTGGGCTGTGACTCCGGGGTTGGGGACCCCCTGCTCAAGAGCCCAGAAAACATCTCCTGATCATCAGACTTCGGGTAACAGCTCTGTTGCTAAATTCAGGGAGAGAATCTCCTTACCTGACAATGAGGGTGGGAATTCGAACAGCCCATCATGGCTCCCTTGTTCTCAAAGATCTGTAAACCAAAAACAAGGAAACAAGGAGACAAACAAACAAAAAACAACAGGATTGTTTGGCTTACACCAAGGGTCTTCAAACTTGCCAACGTTAAAACTTGTGGACTTCAGCTCCCAGAACTCCTCAACCAAATTTAAACTTGTGGACTTCAACTCCAAGAATCCCTCAGCGTGAAACTTTTAAGACTTGTGGACTTCAACTCCCAGAATCCCTCAGCTTGAAACTTTAAGGCTGTGGACGTCAGTTCCCAGAATCCCTCAACCTGAAACTTTAAGACTTGTGGACTTCAACTCCCAGAATCCCTCAGCTTGAAACTTTAAGGCTGTGGACGTCAGTTCCCAGAATTCCTCAGCCTGAAACTTTAAGACTTGTGGACTTCAACTCCCAGAACTCCCAGGCTGGCTGCGGAATTCTGGGAGTTGAAGTCCACAAGTCTTAAAGTTGCCAAGGTTGGAGACCCCTGGTGAACATAGCAGAAATTAAGAAGTGTTTGCAACTCCTTTTTTCAACTTATGCGTTTGAGTCAAAGGTCTCAGCTTTTGTGAAGTCAACTCTCTTTCATCACATGAGTGGCTAGACCAGGGATAGGCAACCTTGGCTCTTTTATGACTCATGGCTGGCTCAGGAATTCTGGGAGTTGAAGTCCACAAGTCATAAAAGAGCCAAGGTTGCCTACCCCTGGGCTAGACCAAAGTTTCTCTCTATATCTAACTGCATTAAGATTGGTTGGTTTTTCCTTATCCAGTCATATCTGACTCTCGGGGGCAGTGCCCCTCTCTGTTTCTTAGTTGAGGACCCAGTGCTTTCCAAAGACTTTTCCATGGTGTTGTGGCCAGCATGACACCACGCTGCAATGCAGAGCGTGTGGCCAAACACAGAACGCTGTTACCTTCCCACCGATATGGTACCTACTGATCTACTCACATTTGCATGTTTTCGAACTGGTGGGCAGAAGCTAGAGCGAGGAACGGGAGCTCACCCCTTTGCATGGAGCTCAGTCTGTCAGCTTTGCAGCTGATAAAAACTCAGCATCCTTAACAGCTGAGCCATCGTGTCCCCTTGCATTAACAGTATCAAAATTTAAAATAAAGGCAGAAATTAAAAATAATGAGAAAGTGAGGCAAGGAAAGAAAAGGAAGAGACAAGCGCAGGGTAAGGGAAAGAAAGAGAGGGAGGGAGGGAGGGAGGGAGGGAAAGAGAGAGAGGGAGGGAGAGGGAGAGAACGAAAGAAAGAAAGAAAGAAAGAAAGAAAGAAAGAAAGAAAGAAAGAAAAGAAAAGAAAAAAGAAAAGAAAAGAAAAGAAAGGAGAGGGAGAGAGAAAGAAAGAAAGAAAGAAAGAAAGAAAGAAAGAAAGAAAGAAAGAAAGAAAGAAAGAAAGAAAGAAAGAAAGAAAGAGGGAGAGGGAGAAAGAAAGAAAGAAAAAAGAAAGAAAGAAAGAGAAAAGAAAAAAGAAAAGGAGAGAGAAAGAAAGAAAGAAAGAAAGAAAGAAAGAAAGAAAGAAAGAAAGAAAGAAAGAAAGAAAGAAAGAGGGAGAGAAGGAGGAAGGGTGGGAGAATGGAAGGATTTCCAACTCTCTTCAGCATAGTAAAATAAAGTTAATAAAATTACAGCCTAGAGTGACTTTTGTCTTTTGCAGGAATATACTTGCCATTTCTATAACAACAAATTTATCTAAGCAGCAAATCTCAAAGTCAAAATTTCATTTTCTTTTCTGTCTAGAGCACAAAGATTAGAAGCAGTTTCCAAGTAGACACGAAACTCCATGTGTTCTTTTCTTGGATTAAAACAGCTAAATTTGGCCATCTCTGAAAGTTCTATTCTTCCATTGTGGGAAACTGGACCAGTGTTTCTCAACCTCAGACACTTCAACTCCCAGAATTCCCCAGCCAGCCAGCCAGCCAGCCAGCCAGCGTGCTAAGGTTGAAAAACACTGGACCACACTGATATAGGGTTTAAACTGGGCAAGGCAGAGGAAACGCTGGACCACGATTCCTTGCAGAGATGCTCACCTGCACCCAGGTGTAAGAGGCACCCAACTCGACTGCTATCTCTGCCCACTTGTCAATCACCCTGCGGATCTCAGCAAGCGACATCAGCGGCAGAGTCAGGTCAGTCCAGGGATGGAAGCACATGACTTTGCTGGGGAGAAGAGAGGAAGGAAGGAACCAAACGAGTACAAGCAAGAACAGAAAGCCTTCCCTGAATACCATCGAAGGAGAGAGATGACCCACACCCTAAAGAAGAGAAAGGTTTAAGCAGAAAAGGAGCGCCAACCCATCCCCAGGGCATTTGGTTCCTGTGGGGTCCTTGGTGCTCTTTTCAGCTTGGCTGTCTTCTTGCAGACGTTTCATTGCCCAACTACAGTAGGTAAAATCATTTAGTGATAGAAAGGAGAGGAGGAGGAGGAGGAGGAGGAGGAGGAGGAGGAGGAGGAGGAGGAAGAGGAGGAGGAGGAGGAGGAATAGTAGTAGTAGTCCTTGGTGCTCTTTGTTACAGACATTTCATGACCCAACTAGGTAATATCATTAGACAGGAGTGGGCTGTGTTAGGAGGAAGAGGAGGAGGAGGAGGAGGAGTCATCCTTGGTGGTGTCTGAGCTTCGTTGTTTCCTTGTAGACATTTCATGACCCAGCTAGGTAACCTCGTCAGTGCCAGAAGGGAGTGAGGTTTATGGAGAGGAGGAGGAGGAGGAGGAGGAGGAGGAGGAGGAGGACTGTAGGTTCCTTAGTGCTGGCTCAGGGATTCTAGGAGCTGAAGTCCACAAGTCGTAAAAGGGGCCCTAGTTGCCCACCCTTGCTCTAGACTAGAGAAATGGATTTCTCTCCTTTGAAAAATGAAAGCCAAGCCAAAAAGTACAAGATTACTAAGAACTCCACAGAGGGAAACAATTTCTCAGAGGGGTGGGAACATGTTAGCAAGATGGAAACACAGAAGGAACCCGTGCCAATGTGTTGACCTTGAAAGTACGCTTTATAGAAACTGCTATGGCAATGTAACTGATATATTTCTTTTTATTAAGATAATAACTCTTTGTTGAAGAAAGAGACAGGAGATGGGCAGGGAAGGAACTTGAGGCTTGCTAATCAGGTAAATTCATGGTGGTGCCCTCTATTACTCATGCATACATAGGGTTGTCATTTTCCCCTCCTTTCCAAAAACATACACAGGTAGTCCTGACTTACTACCTCAATTAGGGCCCACATTTCGGTTGCTAAGTGAGACGGTTCAGTGAGTTTTGCCCCATTTTACGACCTTTCTTGCCACCGTTGTTAAGTGAATCACTGCAGTTGTTAAGTGAGTAACACAGTTCTTAAGTGAATCTCGTTCAAGGTCACAAAAGGGGATCATGTGACCCTGGGACACTGTGACCGTCATAAATCTGAGTCAGTTGCCTAGTGACCGAATTATGACCATGTGACCCTGGGGATGCTGCAATGATGGTCAAGTGTGAAAAATGGTCATAAGTCACCTTCTGCAATGCAGTTGTAACTTTGGTCACTAAATGAATAATTGTTAAGTCGAGGACTTCCCCTGTTTGGGATTGGGCTCCTGTGTTTGATTCCGCAGTTGCAATCAGGAAGCAACAACTGAAAGCTATTCCCACCCCACCATGTGGTTAATGAGACTTAGCTCAGAAGAAACAAGGGGCACGCTAGACTTACCACACGCCTCGAGCTGATGCTGAACGGAACAAGGGATGGTCGTCAGCCTCTGCAGGAGAAGAAAATTCATCAGCTAGAAAGGATCCAGGTGGCCCCCGAAGGCACAGAAACCTCCAAGTGGCCTCAACAACTCTCAAAGAGAGCACTAACGACCAGACGACTGCAAGGAATATAAACCCTTCTATCCTATACTAAAAAGCAGAGACATCACCCTGCCAACAAAAGTACGTATAGTCAAGGCCATGGTTTTCCCAGTTACAATGTATGGCTGTGAAAGCTGGACCACAAGAAAGGCTGAGCGCCAAAGAATGGAGGCCTTTGAACTCTGGTGCTGGAGAAGACTCCTGCGAGTCCCCTGGATTGCAAGGCGATCCAACCGGTCAGTCCTAGAGGAGATCAACCCCAACTGCTCTTTACAAGGCCAGATCCTGAAGTTGAAACTCAAGTACTTTGGCCACCTAACGAGAAGGAAGGACTCACTGGAGAAGAGCCTAATGCTGGGAAAGATGGAGGGCAATAGAAGGGGACGACAGGGAATGAGGTGGCTGGAGGGAGTCACTGAAGCAGTAAGCATGAGCTTAAATGGACTCCAGAAGATGTCAGAGGACAGGAAGGCCTGGAGGAACGTTGTCCATGGGGTCGCGATGGGTCGGACACGACTTCGCAACTAACAACATCCTCCACCATTCAGTCAGAACTGAAGAAGCTTCTTGGATGAGTGTCTATGGAGATTCTCCATCATCCAGGTCATGGCTGTCCCAAAGGTGCGTTTTCAGGAGGCAGCTGGACTTTCTTTTTTTTTCTTTGAAGACATTTCGCTTCTCAACCAAGAAGATTCTTCAACTCTGACCGGATGGTAGGGAATGGAAGGATTTATACTCCTTTCAGACAGCTGGTCATTTGCACTCTTTTCGAGAGTCGTTGAGGCCACTTGGAGGCTTATCTATGTCCTCAGGGTCACCTGAGTGGTGCAAATGGATGTAGAGCCTTCTTGGCTGCAGGATGTTTTCTTGTTCTCTCTCTCTCTCTCTCTCTCTCTCTCTCTCACACACACACACACACACACACACACACACACACACACAAGCACACATATTTAAAGTAGCTATGTAAATAGGATTAATAACTTCATTTAAGTTTTTTGTTTAGTCTCATTCCAAAGTACAATTTCCCTGCAGCTTCTGAAGGATAAGGAGAGAGGCAACCCACGGCCCTGGGACCACCAAGCCTCCATTCTTGGCTTACTCAAGAAGAAAGGAACTCTTACCAGGCTCTGGAGCATCTGGCTGCAATGCGGGAAAATCATTGTCAAAGACAAAGGTGCTCTCGTAGTGGGGATTTACCTGCATGAGATAAACAGAGACACCAAGATATTGTATAACTGCAACAAGGATGATCAGGGGACTGGAGGCCAAAACATATAAGGAACGGTTGCTGGAATTGGGTATGTCTAGTTTAATGAAAAGAAGAAATAGGGGTGACATGATAGCAGTGTTCCAATATCTCAGGGGGTGCCACAAAAAAGGAGTCAAGCTATTCTCCAAAGCGCCTGAAGGCAGGACAAGAAGCAACGGGTGGAAACTGATCAAGGAGAGACGCAACCTAGAACTAAGGAGAAACTTCCTGACAGTTAGAACAATTAACCAGTGGAACAACCTGCCTCCAGAAGTGGTGAATGCTCCAACACCGGAAGTTTTTAAGAAGAGACTGGACAGCTATTTGTCTGAAATGGTATAGGGTTTCCTGCCTGAGCAGGGGGTTGGACTAGATGACCTCCAAGATCCCTTCCAACTTTTTTTTTATGATGATGATGATTATTATTATTATTATCAACTTCTCTCTCATTCCAACCCCATCTTTGAAAAACATGTATGACAGCATCGTCAACGTCATACAGATGTGGTTGAAGTGCTGGCTTAGAAACCAGGAGCCTGTGAGTTGTAGTCCCACCTTAAGCATGAAAGTTGGCTGGGTGACTTTGGACCAGTCACCAGGAGATGGCGAGTTGTAGTCCCAGCTAACGCAGGGAAACGGCTGGGTGACCATGGGCCAATCACTCTCTCGCAGCCCAGCCCAGCCCACCTCTCAGGGCGATAGTTGTGGGGCAAATAGGAGGAGGAAAGATTAGTGAACTATTGGGCTAGACTAGAAGACCTCCAAGGTCCCTTCCAGTCTTATAATTCCATGATTCTACTTGATCTGTTCACCACCTTCAGATATTTATAAAATAATAAACATGGGACAAAATCTACCTAATAAATAAAATAGTTAACGTAAAGTACAAGCTCCGAAATCCTTCAGGGGGCTACCCAGATGCCAGGATTATGTCCTCTAAGGAAAAAAGCCCCAGAAGGAGAAAGGGCCAAGCAAACGCCAGACACAAAATGGATTGTTGGGGGGGGAGGAAGAAGCAGAGATCTGGACCCCAGGATTCCCACTGACTCGCCCTGCCCTGCCCCCCAGGCTGCCCACCTGGCCGACTGCTCGCGTGGCCCCTGGACACAAAGGGTTGGATGGGTCGTGGCGTGGGGGCTCCTCCTCGGGGGCCTTCTCCACCTGCCCTTGCCAGGGGCGCCGCATGCGGTGGGCAGAGACCAGCACCCAGTCCTCCCGCAGCGGGTTGTAGCGCAGGTGCTGGTGCTCTGGGGAAGAGATGCGGGTGGTTAGGCTGGAAGGGGTCCCACTAGGTGACCAAGGGCCACGCCAGGGGGGCCACGCCCCCACCCCAGCAAC